GAAAAGGCTTAGCGATAAAAGACTTTTGGGAGGCAGAGAAAATAACACTTAGATATAAGAGATTGGGATCATTTGTTTATGCAGTGGCAGGAGTTGTTACCATACAAGAGAAAGGGAGGACTCCAATAGATGGAGAGGGATAAGCATCTTAGTAGAAAGATACCCATGGCTGCAGAAGCCAGGGAGAAAGAGAGATGTATGGTGAGTGCCCAGGAGGTATACTGATGGGGATGTCCTTCTGTATATTTTTCTCTTATTGGTTGATGAATAAAACACTGATTGCCCAGACAGGAAGTATAGGCTGGCCTAGGAGACAAGGAGAATTCTGGGAAAGGTAGGCAAGGAGAGCCCCGCCAAAGGAGTCGCCATGTAGACCACAAAGGAGTAACAGGTCCAAGAATTCTCTAGTAAGCTAAGACCATGTGGAAATACATAGATTTATAGAAACGGGTTAATAATTAAGACAGAGCTAGCCAATAAGAAACCCTAGCCATTGGCCAACAGTTTAATAATATAAGTCTCTGTGTGATCATTTGGGGCTGAAAGCGGCAGCAGGACCTGGCAGTAGAGAAGAACCATCAGCAATAGTATAGCAGACTTCAGGAGTCAGAGAGAACACTTACTGAGTAGGGTAGGAAAGGTGAATGGTTAGAGCAGGTGGTGAAAAGAAGCAGATTCTAGAATTTAAAGTCAAGTAGGGTGGGTGGAAGAAGCCAGCAGAAACAAATGATCCATACATACCTTAGGACAGTTGAGTTGGCAGCTTGGCTCAGTTAGGAGAGACTGAGCTCTTTGGAAGGAAGCTTTGCCCTTCCCAGTTTTCGAGGACTAGACAATGAATTGAAGACATAACCCCTCCAAGGTTGAGGAGAAAGTTTTTATTGTAGATATGAGGGAGAGTACAGTCAGAGACATCAGGGAGATTCCAGAGCAGGAAGACTAAACATAATCAGTGAGACCAGGCCTTGAGGGTGGGGGTGGGGGGAGCAAGAGAGAAAGAGAGAGAAGAGGAGAAGAGAGAGCAGCCAGCAGCAGGCACTTTGGAGTGGTAATAGGCACTGCCAGTCACAAAGTTAGCCATTTTCCCTGAGTTTCTTTTGGACTTGACACTGAGAAAGTGTTGGGTCAGTCCAGCCATCAACAGCTCCCTCCTTATTTTTCAAACTTGTACCTCAATGTCTAAGGGACTCTTGCTTTTCCTAAACCAACAGATGTCTCAGACACCAACATGGCCCCAGGTGGTGGCCCAGACCTGGGGCATTGGCCCAGTCTTCATCAACACAGACCCTGGCTGTGACAGGGCCATGAACCCAGACATGGCCCTTGCAGCATCCCTTGTCTGGATAGTACCATGGCAGCAGCTGACAACACTGGCCACCCTAATTGGCCTGGCCCCTGCAGCAGCACAGTCCTCAGATACCAACATGGTCACAGGTTGTAGCCCAGACCCCGGGCATTCACATGGCCCTTGGGCACAACATGGGCCAGGTACATAAACATAGACCCCGCAGCAAGACCACATGGTCCTTAGCAGGAGCCTGGGTCCAGGACATCACCATGACCACTGTGTGGCAGTGTGGCCCCAAGATATCAACCTGGCCCCAGGTGGTAAGTCAGACTATAGTCCCCTGCAAGGCACCCACCCAGAGGTGACAGAAGCCACAAACACCAAACCAGGCCCCCTCTGCTTCTCCAGAGCTCCTGACCAAGACCTGGCCCTTAGTCAGAGCTCAGGCCCAGACATTACCCTGAATTCGGATGGCCCCCTGGCCATTCACATCAGCCTGTTCCTCACCACCCTCACCTCTCCAGGTCCACTTCCTCCCCAGCCCACGAACCATTCTGCCTCTCCCTCTCTTCTTCCTACCCACCCTGTATTCTCTCACTAAAATGGTGCCCAATCATCCAGCCCCAAGACTCTTGGTTGGGCCACAGGTGGCACTTGTGTGAGTCCTGTCCACCCCAGTCATAAGGAATGGCATGGAGCTGTTGCCTTTCCTCTCTCTCGTGACTGGGCCTAGAGACCTCAGGCAGCATTTGGTATGATGGTACCCAACTTGGTATGACATACCTGGTTGATTTGTGCCCCTCTCCACTGATTCAGGCCCAGAAGGGGCTGAATGGCCCACATTTTAATTTTCTAATAACATGTAAAACAAATTTTTATCCTTATAAAATGTTTACTTTTTAATATAATGAGATTTTTATAGTCATGTGGATGAATATCCTTTTTCACTTTTATATAAAATTGACTAGGAAGGACTGTTTGGAGCAATTATCTTTTTAGGCAAAGGCAGGCTATCGAGGGACTGTTGTGTCTAGGAGCTGGAGCACTCTGTTGTCCTCTGAGCTGGGATTCTGAATTCTGACTGTGTCCCCCATCCCCACTCTTGCCCCTCCACTGTAAAATCCCCTGCTGTAGTTGGGGGGTGGGAATCTAGAAAAAAAAGTAGCTTTTTTTGCCCAAAATGCTTGATCGGGGATTCCAAGCTCCTCCAGCTTGGGCAAATGTAGGATGGAAGTCTCTATTGTGGCATCTAATAATCCTGTCTATAACATGGCCGGTTAGCTCAGTTGGTTAGAGCATGGTGCTGATAATCCTGTCTATGTAAAAGAGGAAGGGGATCGGCTCAGCTAAATGTGTTAGAGCTACTTGTAGGTTATTTTAAAACTGTATCGTCAAAAACAAAATACACACACAAAAAAACCCAAGCCAAAACAAACAAAAACCACTTTCTCCTCATCTTCTGAGGCATCAGGAAGCCAAAGCAATTTAAGAACTAGTGTCACAGGCTGGTCATTGGTGGTGCACGCCTTTAATCTCAGCACTCGGGAGGCAGAGGCAGGGGGATCTCTGTGAGTTTGAAGCCAGCCTGGTCTACAGAGCACATTCCAGGACAAGCTCCAAAGCTACATAGAGAAACCCTGTCTTGAAAAACAAAAACAAACAAACAAACAAACAAAAAAACAAGAACTGGTGTTGCTTCTTTGTCCTTGGAACCTTTCATCTCCATTTTTTTTTTGACTGTTCATGTTTATCTTTTGTTTCTCAGTCTGTTTTGGAGTAGATCTATGACCAGATTTACTGGGGTGGTGAATTAAAATTGAATCAGCTTTACACTGTGGATCTAAGCAAGTTCTAATAAAATTTTACAGCACAAACTCATCAATATGAAACTCACATGGCACTTGTGAGCAATATTTTGTCTTTAAACTTTTGCCTACATATTTCCATGTCTTTAAACTTACAAAATGTTATTTTAGGGACCCAAGGGCAGGGTTTTTTTGTTTTGGTTTTTTTAATGAAACTAAAGGATTTTTATAAGCACTTTAGCATATTATAGGAATTAAAATACAAAAGGAAACAAGGCATTTAAAGGGAAAAATGTGCCTGTTTTAGTTTGAGTTTCAATAGTTGTGAAGAGACACCATGACCATGGCAAATCTTATAAAGGAAAATATTGGGTGGCTTACAATTTCAGAGGTTCAGTTCCATTATCATCATGACAGGACATGGCAGCACGCAGACAGACGTGGTGATGGAGAAGGACCGGAAAGTTCTACATCTTAATCCACAGGCAACAGGAAGTGAACTGTGACACTTGACATAGCTTGATCATAGGAGACCTCAAAGCCCACCCCACAGTGACACACTTCCTCCAACAAGGCCACACCTACTCCAGAAAGACCACACCCACTCCAACAAGGCCACACCTACTCCAGAAAGACCACACCTACCCCAACAAGACCACACCTCTTAATAGTGCCACTCCCTTTGGGGGCCATTTTCTTTCAAACCACCCTAAGGGCCTTAAGAATTTTGCTATCCCATGTTTTACTACCGATGTTTTCACTTCTTCCTTCAGGTGATCTATCTGACCTGACTTTTTAAAAAATTATCGATGTATTATGGCCATACTTACTCTTTTCCTCATATTCAGGTGTCCCTGTTCAGTCACTACTTGACCTGGACCAGCAGATGATTCTTTGGTGGCAGGGTCCTGAGAGAGCAGACCAGGAGATCAGAAGATAAAGAGAAGATAAAGTTTGGGATCAGGAGGTCTTTTTGTCTATGCCCTATGTTAAGCAAGCCTCTTATAAAGTGCGGTATCTTACATACTATTTCCAGGGAAGAAATGGGACAGAGCCAGCAGAAACTGTCCTATGATGGGACTAAGTCAGGGGGAAGCTAATCAAACAATGTCGCACAAAGGAACAGAGTATCTCCAGATCATTATAGACTGAGCACACTGCAACCTTGGGACTGATAAGGCCAGTCTCTTCAGGGGAAAAAGCCAAGTCCCTGGAACAGAAATGTCAACTCTTTTAAGGCCCCAGCCTCAGGCTCAGACTGGCATTGCCAAGTCTACTCCTGAAGCAGAACTGGGTCCCTTTTGTCTTTTATCAGGACCTCTGAGAAACTCTTAGATCAGCCCAGCTCTCAATAGGGCGGAGTTGGGATGGGGTGGGGACAGAGCCTCTGTGATCAGTGACAATTTCAGGCTGCAATTTAGTCTATCCTCTGTCCTCTTCTAAGCCAGGTGGACTGCCATTGGGACACTCAAACACATTACAGAGTGAGTACACCTGCTGTTATGGGACGTGCTGGGCTTGAGGACGTGGGTGGATGGAACACAGACCCTAGGCATCCCTGTCCAAGCTACAGCCTAGGACTCCTATGAATGAGGCTCAATACAAAATCCTAAACTTACTTAAAACATTATGAGAAAAAAAAATGGTGACGTTTTGTAACTTCACTGCATGCTGGTCGGCAAGTCTGTCTTAAGCAATTGCCTGCTTCATCTGACCTTTCGACAGCACTGAGTACCACCGCTTCTCTTTGCAGTCCCAAGGCCTTAGCCTCTTCCTCATCCCTCGGAAGATAAGTGGAGACTTTCTTTGAGGATGTCAGCCCCCTCATTGTCTCTCTCACTTTGCCCCCTCCCCCGCTTTTCCCTCTCTGAGAACATTTTCCTATTCTCCCATTCAGAACTGCTGCCACCATGAGGCTCTTCCCCATTCTGTGCTTGCTGCTCCTCAGCCTCGGGGTGGCCTCTCGCCAGCGCCACCGCTCCCGCTCCTGGGAGAAGAAGGTGAAGGAGTCCTCTGGGTTAACTCACAGAATCGAAGACTTTGCCTTCGACCTCTACAGGGCCTTGGCTTCTGAAGCCCCTGGTCAGAATGTCGTCTTCTCCCCCCTGAGCGTGTCCATGAGCTTGGGCATGCTCTCTCTGGGGACTAGCTCCAACACTAAGACACAGATCCTGGAGAGCCTGGGACTCAGCCTCCAGCAAGGCCAAGAGGATAAGTTCCATAAGGGCTTCCAACAGCTGCTCCAGAGGTTCAGCCAGCTTAGAGATGGCCTCCAGTTGAGCCTGGGCAGTGCCCTTTTTGCAGACCCAGCAGTACATATTCGGGACAGCTTCCTGAGTGCCATGAAAACGCTGTACATGGCAGACACTCTCTCTACCAACTTTGGGAACCCTGAAATGGCTAAGAAGCAGATCAATGACTATGTGGCCAAGCGGACCAGGGGCAAGATTGTAGACTTGATCAAGGATTTGGACAATACCAACATCATGGTGTTGATAAATTACATCTTCTTCAGAGGTAAGTCTTTGGCTCAAACTTGAACTTCCTCACATTTCTGTTTTTATTGCAAGACAGCATTCCTCCCTCACAAAAGAACAACTCATCCAGGTGCCAGCTGGATGGAAGGAAAGCAGCTACATGTAAGACAGAACCTCCTTAAAAGACTGTCAAAGATTCACCAGGCAGCACCTGGCCCTCATCAGGGCTATCATGGCAAAACAGTACTGATACCAAACCCACTAGATCTGGGAATATGAACCTGGTTGGGGTCAAAAGGGCAGAGGACAGGCACCAAGGGCTTCTGAAGGCAAGTGTCTTAGCTACTTTTCTATTGCTGTGATGAGACACTATGACCAAGGTAGTTTCTAAAAGAAAGCACTTAATTGGGGCTTGCTTACAGTTTCAGGGGTGTGTCTATGACCATTATGACACGGAGCACAGTAACAGGCAGGCAGGTATGATGCTAGGTCAGTAATTGGGAGCTTTACATGTCATCCACAAGCACTCAGCAGAAAGAGAGAAAGCCTGGGCTGGTGTGGGCTTCTGAAACTTCAAAGCCCACCTTCAATGTCATACTTCCCTCAATAAGGTTATACCTCCTAATCCTTTCCCAAAGAATTCCCTCAATAAGGCTACACCTCCTAATCCTTCCCCAAACAGAGGCCCAAGCATTCAAACATACGAGCCTGTGGGGGACATTCTCCTTCAACTCACATGTCAAGATTTTAGGAAAACAGGCATGTAAAAGGTCCAGGGTGCCCAGAGTCAAGAGGGGATTTGGCCTTCAAGGCCAAGAGGTGTGACTGCTCCTACTGCTGAGGTGGCTCTGTAAACACTTTCTGGACTATATCCACTCTTCAGGCACAGCCAAGGGTCTCTCATTCTTACTCAGTACTTCCACTCCTACCCCATGTTCACTTTAGCCAAGTGGGAGACAGCCTTCAGTGCCAAAAACACCCAACAGAAAGATTTCCACGTGACCCCCAAGAAGACCATACAGGTGCCCATGATGAACCGTGAAGATGAGTACTACCACATCGTGGACCAAAGTATTTCCTGCACAGTGGTGAGGATCCCTTACCAAGGCAACGCCACAGCTCTGTTCATTCTCCCCAGTGAAGGCAGGATGCAGCAGGTGGAGAACGGCCTGAACAGTAGAGTACTGAAGAACTGGCTGAACTCAGGCACCAAGAGGTATTTTCTAAGTCATTCTGGGGGCTCTACCTATGCTTGGGGTTACACATGATCCAGGACCACACGGTGATGGTGGGAAAGACTCCTCAGACAGTGAGCTACCTCAAAGCCTAAAGACTTCCTGTGATGTCCTCAGTCCAGGACCTGGTTTAGCTTGAGAGATAAGACCTGGAAGAGTGGGGTTCTGGGGTGACACCAGAGTGGGCAGCCCAAGTCTAAGTACAAATCAGGGGACACTCCAGCAGAGACGAAGGTTCCATAAGGTCTGTGAAGCCACAGAAAGAGGTGTTAAGGATGTCTCAGCATCTCATGGTGTCTAAGAATGGCTTTTACTCTCTCCAGTCAGTTGAACCTTTACCTCCCCAAGTTCTCCATTGAGGGTACCTACCAACTGGAGAAAATCCTCCCCAAGCTGGGCATCAGGGACGCCTTCACCTCCCATGCTGACCTGTCTGGCATTACTAACCACCCCAATATCAAGTTGTCTGAGGTGAGTCGAGATGCTCCCGAGCACCTGCTTTCAGAAATTAGAAGCCTTAGCTTCATTCTTTTCTATCCCATTATGATTCCTTTCCCTTAGAGATTCACAGACTTTCCTTTGTATCTTGTTCTTCTTACAATGGGAACCCATATTTGCCACCTGACCTTGGAGGAATCTGTGCCTGTCTGAGTGCTGTCTTCTCTCTCTCTCTCTCTCTCTCTCTCTCTCTCTCTCTCTCGTGTGTGTGTGTGTGTGTGTGTGTGTGTGTGAATTTAGCTCTGTCTTTATTGAACAGCACATAAAGTGTCACATGGAGAAGAAAGAATGGTACACTTTGCAGAAACCTTCAACAGAGTTTTATAAGGGATTAAGTCACTAACTCCAACTGCCTCAGACATCAAACATCATTGTTTATAAACTGATATCCACAAGTGAATCCACTTTTAGAAGATTACTTTCAACGTCTGTGTCTCTGTGTATGCTGTTTTCAGCAAATGACACACATGAATTGTTCTAGATCAGAGACTGATAAGAGTACATAACTTAAGATAGCACGGGGAACTCCAAGGCAATTAAGGTTGGTTATTGCATTATTGTCTTAAAAGCAGGAAAAACCAACAGGTTGAGTCCACGGTAGGACAGCAGCCTCATGTGACCTCTGCATATATCATTATCTCTGGCTGTGAGGTCCAACAAAAGTTCCAGTTCATTTGAAATATAAGTAACGTTTTTATCATGATGCATCACCACAACCCAGCCCCACTTTCTGCCTGCAGATGGTGCATACATCCATGGTGGAGGTAGACGAGTCAGGAACCAGAGCAGCTGCTGCCACAGGAGAGGTCTTCACATTCAGATCTGCTCGACCGATGATTGTGAAGATAAATTTCAACAGACCCTTTCTGTTGGCCATCGTCGAGAACATGGATCTCTTGTTCCTTGGCAAATTGGTCTATCCCACAGGTGTAACTCTTTCCAAAACCCACGGGCTTACCCAGAGGAAACCATGAGTATACTGCAGCCCATCCTTCTGTTGGTAGCTGGTGATTTGCATAGAGTAGATTGTAATATAGTAATGGCTGCTTCCTTGATCACAGTTGCAAGGTATGTGTTCTTGGCCCCATCTTTCATCTGCAATTGGCACTGAGCCTAAAGAGGCTAGTTGATTTCTCCAAGCTCCTACCACCGTAGTTGTGACATAGTCATGCCCAGACCCCAATTCATTTGTGCCCAGTCTAGCACTCCAAAACCTTGTAAGAAACTGGTCACTCTAGGTAAAGTCACCAGGAAGCACATCTTTAAGCCTGGTCTCCCACCTATAGGCAGCAGCTATCAGTTTATCATGGTTTAGGAAGGACACTGAACTAAGGTTCTGGAATGGCACTAATAGCTACATAACATGGGAGTGACAATGCTCCTCTCTGGACCTTTGTTTTTCTGTGTATACAATGAAGGATTAGAGCAAGAAGTCCATACACTGGTCTGTGAAATCATTACACAGGGTTGGCTGCTCCATGCCAGTCATGCTTGATATAAGATCTTATTTTAGTAGCATACTTGAGCATCTGGATAGAAGTGTCTCACCACAAACAAAGGTATCAATTCGCAAACCTGACTGGGGTGGGACAATAGAGGCCTGTTGCAAACAGTGGAATGTAGATTGTAGATTGACTTGCTGATTTTCACCTTGGCAATAGCAATAAAGCATTTCACAAAGACTGGGTCTCATTGTCCTTATGGAGACAGCCCTGGGGATAAGTGACACTCACTATGTTCCAAAGTTGGTGCTAGGCACTTCTCCCGTCACAGTATCTCATGAGGAAAAAGATGTCACCACCATTGCCCTTTGACTGACAGTAAAAGGAAGGCTTGCTGGGGTTTAGGTGGCTTACCCAGTCAATAGCTTGCACATGTAAGAGCTAAGATTAATGGTATATTGGTTATTTTCTCATCACTGCAACAAACACCTGACAAGAAGCAACTTAAGAGTTTTTTTGGCTCATGGATTGAGGAGATAATTTATCGTGGCAAGGAAGGCTCTCAGCTGTGGCAGCAGAAGTGTAAGGCTGCTTGCTCACATCTGAGTGTATCAGGAAGCAGGTGTGGACAGAAAGGAAGGCTGGCCTATAAACCCCAAGGCCCATCCCTCGGCTATCCTCGTATGTCATCTACGTCCCATCTCCCAGCATTCCCTACCACTCCCAAAATAGCGTCACCAGCCGGGAACCACGTGTTCAGATACATGTAGGGAACATTTTACATCTAAACCATAACAGATAGGGAGTATGACCCCACAGCTACCGTTAATCTTGGCTTCTGCTGAAGAGGCAGAATGAAGGCAGAGTACAAGTGTGTCTGAATCTCAGCACTCTGGATTGACTGGGGCGCGTTCCCTCCTGTCCTCCATCAAAGAGGGAGTTTGACACATCAAAGAGCAGATGGGTGAACGGAGGGTGAGCAGCTCCTCCACCAAACCTAAAGCTGTACCCAGGTTAGCTACACCAGAGCAGAGTACTTTGCCCTCCCCAACGTGCATATCACTATCATGGCTCCCATGAGGCTGTGCTCAGTGCTCTGATCCCTGGATCATGTCGAAGAAGGATGCCCAGTGGTGTGTGTTAGTCAGGATTCCCTAAAGGAATAGAGCTGATAGTATGTATGTGCCTGTGTGTGTGTGTGTGTGTGTGTGTGTGTGTGTGTGTTTGTGTGTGTGTGTATGTGTCCCCGTGTGTGCACAAGTGTACGCTCATACACAGGTACCTTCAGAGGCCAGAAAAGGGCATCAGATTCCTGGGAGCTGGAGTTTCAGAAAGGTGTGAACCTCCTTCCCATTCTGGTTTCTAGGAATGAACCTTTGAGCTTAGATTGCCCTCTAGAGTACTAAGGGTTTCTCTGTGCCAGTCTGCACCAGGCACTTTTTATTTGCAATCAAATTCATTCATCACTACCTCCTAGCGAGGTCTGTCACTGTGGCAGTGACAGTGAAGGCTCAGACCCTGGTGCCTGGCACATCCGTGCTGGCTTGCAGCAGTGTACGTGGCTATGACCAGATCCAGAGATCTTCTTGGTGATTTCGCTGAATGCACGGCCGTCCACCCCCTCATGTCATCCCATTGTGTAATGTCCAGGAATTCTCGACAAATTGTGTCTCTCTCTGTTTGCCCACTCTGTTGGAGGTCAGAGAGGAGTCCTGTCTAAGGGTCATGTTTGAGACCAAGGTCCAGTGCTTCTGAAAGTTTACTCAACAAGCAGATATAAAGCAAACACTGTGTGTGGGCTGAGTGGCGGGGGTGGGGAAGCGGTATGTGGAACCTCTATTGCGTATCACACATTAAATGTTGTCTTAGAGCTTGCTGGAAGATAGTGTCCTCAGTTGCCATGTGATCCTGGGATGTACAGAATGGCAATTCAGAGAGACAAACTGAAGGTTTTGCTGAAAAACAAAAAACAAAACAAAACCAACAACAAGGAGCTGGCCTTGAAGAAGGAGTGGAACTTTGGTAGGCAGAAAATTTGGGGCAGGTAGGGGACTTTCAGACAGAACGACCAGCTGGAGTTGAGCATGAAATAGACAAGGTGTGTTGAAAGAGAAAGGACAGAGACTGGCCGAAACCCATGTGGGGAACATGAAGGAAAACATTGGGAAAAGAAGCCGCTGTCCTGACTGTTCAAAGACAAGAGCCTTAGACACATGACTTGGATTTTTTCCTAATGTCTCTCATAACTGACACTATTCACTATGAGTGTGACAACCATTCACACCATACCCAGGATGTCCCTGGACCTCTTCCTGTCCTTTCCCAAGCTGCACATCAACCGAGACCTCCACTTGGCCCTCTAGGAGGCGCTCACACTTTTTTTTTCTCTAAGGCTCTGCCAGAGCCTCACCCACTGGCTGTTGTATTGGGCTTCTGCACACACAGCAGCTGCTCCCCAAGACACTCACTCATTCTTAGTCTCCTGTGACAGCCATGACACCTACAGGTGCACCCACACACACTGTACATATATACTCTCATACCCACACACCTGCATATACACAAATCTAAGTAAATAAATAAAAAATATATAAATACGTCTTACTGGATCAAAGCCTAGGAATCAGGATGTTAATAGCAAGGCCCTAAAGCTCTCCCTTGAGATTTGGATGTACACATGGTGCTCATTGTACTTAATAGGCAGGGCTACACAGCGTGGCTAATGCTCTGAGAAGAGGTTAGGCCCGTGCATTCAATTAGCAGCTCCTTCTTAGAGTTTTCTCAGGAAGTGGAGTGGCAAGTTGATTGGAAAGGCTCCTTTTTGTCATTGCTAGGATAACCAAGGAGTAGTGATTTAAAATAAAATGTTGGGGATAGATACACATCTCTGGAGGAAAACCATTATTGGGGGTGGGGGGACTAATAGGGTAGGGAAGGCCAGAATCTATAGAAATAAATTATTTTAGTTCTGGAAACCAAATGATTTCAAGTTCTAGAGTTGTCACAGTTTGGCTAAAATGGAGGTGCTTTGGAACGGTGTGGCCCAGGCTAACAGAAGTTCAGGGCCAGATATTTGGGGATGGAGATTGGGAACCAGCAGGAGGATGGTGAAGGGGTCTGGTTAGCACACACCCAGCATGAAGGATCACTAAGGAAAGATGCACAGAAAGCCCCTCTATCAAAAGCTCGGAGCAAAACTCTAGTCACAAGATGCCTCTGAAGCACACAGGAGCTCTAAGACCCAGGCATAAGTGTGCCGTAATGGCCACCACAGAAATGGTGGCACACACAGTCTTCACCCCTAAAGTCAGAGCCCTATGGTGTCCTCCAAGGGAAGCATGATTGATTCACAGCCGATCCCACCAGCCACAGCAGGTGACCCTACCTTGGGCTGCCACAGAGCAGGGCTACAGCCTCTGGGCTGGAGTCAGGTGACCTCAGCAGTTGACTCTTCTGCCCTGAGGTTTCTGTCTCATCACAGCCATCAGGGAACAAAACTATGTTGGTACAGAGGATGGACACCATGCAGCTGGTCTGGTTCAGACCTGGCTTGGCTCACGATCAACTGGCATGTGGCTTTGGGAGCTTGCAAAGAAAACAGTCATGAGTGGAGTCCACCTTCAGAAGCTGCTGGTGGGGATGCAACAGGGTTTTAGGCAGGAGGAACAGAGGAACCATGGTAGCTAATGTGGCCCGAGGTAAGAGCAGAGAGGGAGCTACTACCTAGGGAGGAACCCAGTGTGGCACTGCTGTGGTGTGAGCCTGCATGTTGCCTTCTGACATGTCTGGCCTTGCTCTCTCCCTTGGTCCTATGAACTAAGAGGGAGACTGGTCTCTTCTCACTCATTTGAAGATGAAGAATAAATTGTCCCCAAATGCACAGCTTGAAACAATAAACATGGAATATCCCAGTGTCAGGTACCTGTGAGGAGTCAGGCTGGGTGGTTCTTCCTCAGGGCCTCTCATGAGTCACACTGTTGGCTGAAGACCTGACATGTGCTGGAGGTTGCCTGTCTAAGTGCACTCTCATGGGCATTTTCTTGGGTGCTGTAAACTGAAGCCAGGAACTTGTGCTTGCGGGGCAAGCCCCTCCCACTGAGTCCTCGCAAGGATTTTGATGGGAAATCTCTCTCTGGGCCTACTCAAAGGGCTGAGCTGAGCCCCCACCAACATCACCAGGCTGGCCTGCCAAGAACTTCTAAGCGGGGAGAGAAAGAGAGGATGAGAGAGAGGGGAAAAGAGAAGAAGAGAAGAAGGGAGAAAGAGGACAGGAGAGGACATGGAGAGAAGCTAATGAGGCCTGGGAAAGAGTTTCCACAATCGATTCTGTGCACACATGAAATCCCAGCACTTGAGAGGCTGAGACAGAAAGAACAGGAGTGTGAAGACAGCCTGGGTATGTTAGTTGTTTCCTTGTTACTGGCCCCCAATGCCTGATAGAAGCAACTTGAGGGTAGAAGGGTTTACTTTGGCTCCTGGTCTCTTGGCAGGACAGGAACGGGGTTACAGGCCGAGTTTCCATCTATGGTGGC